TGCATTGCATTACTTACAAAACAGCAAGAAACATTGATGCTTTATTTTTCCAAAACACACTGTGACCTCTATTCGTGCTATTTTCCTCATGGCAGGTCTGGAGCGTGACAAGTTTGACAACAAGACGGTGACCTTTGAGGAGCACATTAAAGAGGAGCACAACATGTGGCACTATCTGTTCTTTATCGTCCTGGTAAAAGTTAAAGATTCCACTGAATACACCGGCCCGGAAAGCTACGTGGCTGAGATGATCAAGGTAAACGCAAAGCATGCACACACCCTTAAAACAAAGAGCTAACTGATCTGGTTGTTTTGCAAGCCTATATGTTAAAAACTGATTGACTTCACTGTGAGACCGCACTGTTTTAGAACTAACAGTGTGTAAAATCAGAGGGAATGTCTGTAAAGACTGTGTAATCTGCAGAACTTTCTGCATAAAAATTGCTTAACCTCACAGCTTGATGACGTAAGTATCTTTGACATCATTCCCAAGCCATTTACTAGAAATCAGAGTGCTCCTTGCAATACTCAGTCCTGAATTCAAGAGCGCTTTGGGCAGCATTTCCCTTTGTGTCACATTTTTATGGTAAGCAGTGCTCATCAGTTTATCCTACTGAGTCACACATAAACACGTACCAGCTTGTCACACACACACACCACACACCCTAGTAGATTGTGTTCCGCTTTTTTAATCTAAACTGACAGACATACCTGTCATGTCCATTTAAAACACAAACAGACCAATGGGAAGTATGTGCACCAGAAAGGCAGATTAGCCAAAACTCTTAAAGCTTAAAAAGGAATCAGTCACGTGCACACTGTGATTTTCATCGCAGTAGTAGAAAGTTTTCCCAATTTTTCCATTGGTAACAATATTTTGAATTTGCCTTTTCATTAACTGTTAATAAAAGTAGTTCAACGCTCGGCTGATGTTCTCTGTCAATGCCAGGAGCACAACCTGGACTGGTTCCCTCGGATGCGTGCCATGTCACTGGTGAGCAGTGATTCGGAGGGGGAGCAGAATGAAATCAGGAACCTGCAAGAGAAGCTGGAGTCAACCATGAAGCTGGTGACAAACCTGTCTGCGCAGCTGACTGAGCTCAAAGAACAGGTATATCATGTGACAGTCAACTAACTCCCTCGTTTGTGTTTTCTGTTTGCGTTTTTTTTTTTTTTTTTGATTCAAAGCTTTCTGCAACCAATATTAAACTCCAGTTTTTACACTTTGTATTGTTTACATCTTCATTTCTGACTTGCCTTTGTTTGCACACTATTGAGAAATCAGGGGGAAAATGTTATTTCTCATATGCTTGCGTGCTTACAGTCATGTGAAAACAGAAAGCTTTCACAGGACTCTAAGCAGTCCTGTGAAAATCCAAATAAACCCTGTGATTCAATAGCATGTAGAACCACCTATAACAACAATATCCTGAAATAATAGTTTTCTTTAAGACTGTGTCAGTGTCTCACATTGTTCTCTAAGTATTTTGGCCCACTCTTTTTTAAAACAGAGTTTGAGTTTTGTGGGCATTTGGCCACTGCAACACCTTGATTCTTTTCTTTTTCAGTCATTCTGTTGTAGATTTGCTCAGCCAACCTTTAGAATGCTTTGATAGGAGTCACGAAGTTCCCTAATGAAAAAATTTTCACAGCTAACTGTCAAAAACTCCAAAGTCTATAAAGACATGAGAATTAACATCAGGGATTCTATACTGAGATGATGCCTTTAAACTGTCTTGTTTTTTCCCCCCTATGCAGATGACAGAACAGAGGAAGCAGAAACAACGAATTGGACTTCTTGGTCACCCTCCTCACATGAACATCAATCCCCAGCAGCCTGCCTGAGGGGCCTTGGGGCCATTTTCACCAGTGCCTGAGCACCCGTAACAGTGTACAACATGTTAGCCAGGAGAATGCCAAAACATGTCCATCTCCAGTATCTATTTAGGTCAATGTATGGCTGTATTTTCCAAAACACTCCCTTAGACGTGAGTAAAAGTTATCTTGGTATGTAGTATAGATGTGTCAGTGTGGGTGGAGTGTGCACGACGTGCCTCAGGACCTGAGAAGCCAGTCCTGTAAGTTTCTGTCTTCAGCTTTACTACCCTGAATGCCTTCTGCATCGGACCTGTCAGACAGCATGCCAAAGTTTAGCCATTGTTCCTGAGGGAATATTCCTCTCAAGTGTCCTTGTAATGAGGATTTCATCCTCTGTGTTGCACCAGCAAACTCAGGTCACATGTGGATTTGAAGTTTTGTTTGACCCCTACAACACGATATTTAATATTTTGCTTTCATCAGATGGCAATAAAAATGCTATTTAATATGCAATGACTAATTAAGAACTAACTAGTTTTGAGAATTTTGTTTGCTTTTTTTTTTATTTAAAGTGATTTATCATGTATTTAAAATATAAGACAAAGCTGTAAACAACACTGAAGAGGTCACCAAGCTTTTCCAAAGCATATAAAGATGTTATTAAATCTGTAATCGTTTGTTTCTTTGTTTTTTAAGTCGAGAGAAAGCATTTGATACTACTTTCAGAATTCTTTGTAATCTCAAACTAAGGGCCTCCTTGTTCCAGGGCAGTTTATATAAGAAAAACAATCGTTGGGAATACATTGTAACTTTTTTTGAAGATAAAAAATAATTCTGACCCGTTACAACTTTGGAGAAATATTTTTTGTATAATGAACATTATGGACTTCCTAGAGAGCTGAAGCGATTGTTTCACCCTGACGCTGGGTCCATGGTGTATTTAACAATGTGATTTATGTGGGATCTCATTAAAACCACAGATCCAAACATAAAAGATTTTTGGGAACAACATTATCTTCATTATCCTTGATGTCTGCACTGACTTACTTAACCTTCGTTTAACCTGTTTAGATTGAAGCACTGATATTTTCTGTAGCACAGAAGCAGTCGTTGCTATTTGTTTGGTCACTTTGTAAAGAATACAAAGACTGTGTTCATGTTAATGTGAAGAAAGAAAAAACTACTAGATTGAATTTGGAGTGCTGTTAAACCAAACTCAACTTTTATACTTACTGATGGATTCTGTCTGAACTGTACATTGCATTCTTGGAGTCTATTTAAATAAATGTGTCAAATATGGTTGCTGAAACCAATGTCTGCATCTACAAATGTGACACAAAAGGAAGTGAAGATCTGGTAATTCCCTAAGTCACAGCCATGCACTTTGATACTGCAGTGAGCATGAAAAAAATGCAGCATGCAGAAGTCATAATCGGGAATTGCCGGCAGATTATCTCTTATCCGAAATCCTCTAAAAATGAGGAAGTGCACTTCTTCGATTATCATACGGCATGGGGAAATGTCTGCGCATACATGGGTTGCACATTTGTAAGCTTCATTTGATCTTTTTGTATTTCATCCTTCCGCAGGCAGAATATTTGTAGAGTTTAACATTTGCGTAGCTTCCTGTATTTGCATTGAACATTGAAACTGAACAGTACTGCCCAAAAGCATTGCGCCACCCTTAATTTCTTTATATTTTGTTAGGAAAATGAGAATGGTTACAGCTATTTATAGCAGCAAACGCACACAGAAATGCAGTTTCTGAGGCAAAAACATAGTTTGTACAATCCTAACAAGTTTGCAAGTCAATATCTGGTATGAACACCTTTATTTTCAACTCTCTTAGGCAAGCCTTAGTGGAATTTATTGAAGTAATCTTCAGGAATAGTTCTCCAGGCTTCTTGAAGGACATTCAAAGCTCTTCTTTGGATGTTGGCTGAAACTCTGATGGTGCTTTTTTGTTGTTGTTGTTTTAGGCCTAGCACTTCTTCTTTTGCCCTTCACTTGTCCTGTTTCTTCAAATGTCTGTGTAATAGCTCTTGGGGATCATCCTGTTGGTGCTTTACAAACTGTTATCTGTGGCATTTTTTTTATCAATTCAACTTTAAACTTGAAGAAATTGCAACAAATTAACTGTTCGGTGGTTTGTTTGTTTTTTTGGATGCACTGCTCATAACTCTGTGCATAAAAATACAATTTAAAATCGGTTTCTTTCTATGCTGCTTGTTGTGTGAAGATGCAACACTGGTTCATGTCTGGCGTTAGTGCCTTTACGCATGAATGATCAATAGGTCAGTCTTAAGTGTCTTACAAATGTCTCTTAAAATGGTCAGGTATAAGGAGTGGACTGAAAAGGAGTGGAAAAGCAGCCAATGTCCAAATCAAAAAAATTACAAATTTCCAGAAAGCCTGGAAAACTATTGCTCATGACCACTTTTAATAAATTACAAGAAAGACAGGCTATTGGATTAAAATAAGACGAAATGAGGGGTGAGAGTCAAGACCTTTGCACAGTGATAAGTAAGGTTTCTAAATATATGCTTCAGATTAAGAGAGTGTTCGTCTCTATTTGTCGTCTATATATTGTCGCCTAAAAGGCTGTTGAAATAGCCTTTGACATTCTCTCAGTGGTTTCACAGTATCACATAAAAAACAATATTTTTGTTACCAAAGCTCAAACATTTTGTAAGAAAAAGAAAAGGCTTCATTACATAAAAAAACAAACAAACAGGATGTACTTGTGTTACGTGTCCCCAGACTGCCTTCAGGGTGCTTTCCATCGTTATGGTTATTTATAAAAGATTGGGATGTGACCGGGATTATGGTTGTTTTCCAATTACTGGGCTCCACTTTATTCACCAAACTCTAGGAACAGTTTCTAGGAACAGTTGATAAAATCACAGGACGAGAGATTCTGGAGGGTTTTAGTGGAAATACAGACTGTTACCAGTTACTGTGAAGGATCCTGATTATCTGAAACAATGAAACGTCTGTTTACTCCGGATTCTTTTAAAATGAGTGTCATTTAAGTGAAACTTTCAGAGCTATTGCCTTCTGATGTTATGAATGCATGTTTGATATCTGCAACTTTCTTTTTCTTTTGCTAGATAAGACAGATCAAAAAGATTGCTTTTAGCAGCAAAGCAGGGAGACAAAATGAGCTCTTAAACACAGTAATCATTTTTAGTTTTGTTTTGTTTTTTTGTCAGAAGGAGTAAAACAACTGATGAAAATGCAAGAAGCTTCATAATGTAAAAAACCCCACAAAAACGTGCACGACTTCATCTGATTCGCCATAGATTTTACTAAATGTGCTGCTGCTGTGTTAAAAAGGTGTGAAAACTGGGAAAACCCTAAACCTCTTTCACGGTGGTTTCATAATGTGCCTTGAATTTAAGGTGTCTTTAACTACGAGATGAACAATTTATGATTTTCATGTCTTGTATGTTGCTGAGTGACCCCCAAATGCCACTGCTGTCGTTCCTGTTTTCGTCTGACATGTGACACCTACTGAATGTTGGTGTGTTCTCATATTTCCGTTCATTAAGCTGCAGCTGACCCCTATTATTCCTATTAAATGTGGAAATACCCTTGTGTATTAAGTTTGTTAGGATCATCATCAAACCTCATTTTATGAGCTATTCTTGCGTGAGAGAAAAAAAAGTACCTTACTGCTTATTTCAACATTACATGAGAGTTCTAAGGGATATTTTTAGTAAATGCAAAAATATGAGCAAAATCCTGCAATGTAAACGTCGTCACACCAGTCCTTGTACACCATTTCATTTTTCTGCGAGAAATGCAATCAATGAAGAAGCACGTTTTAAAAGTGTGCCTGCAGCCTGCAGCGGACAGGTGCAGCCGCCGTGTGCCTGGATGAGCTGGATGTGCCCCGCGCGCGCTCAGCAGGATCCCGGGGCCATGAGGAGATCAACGTGACAGACGGCACCGCCTCATGACAGTAAACACGGACTCCACACAGCCGTCCACGCACAGGCGCACGTGGTTCTCCCACCGTGACCGAGCCGTTCTGCAAACAGACCAATAGACGAGACAATTTCATCTTTCCTCTTCTACAGATTCAATAAGTTGTTTGTCTCCATGAGATTAATGATTAATAAAGTGAACTTTTGTCCTTTAGTGCAGAGCTCGTGACGTTTGAAAAGCCCCTTAAATTGTTTTTATTGCCCTTGAAGAAATATTCCGATATTTTTTGCTATTTTGCAGTCGTACGTGAGATTGTGTGCCTTTAACTGCTCGATTTACTCTTTTAATTTTATTGTGTTCCTTTAAAAAAAAACAACAAACAAACAAGAAAAAACCGTAGTAGGTACCACACCTACTCGCCTCGCGAGGTTCGGGTTTGTTGAACTCCTGCGATAGTTCACTGCCAGCACGTTCCCCGGCGCACAGCCTTGTTTCCATACACTTCAGCATGGTGGTACACGGGATCGGTCATGCCCCGCCCTGCGCTCTGACGTCATTCGCCGTCCGCCCACTGAGGCGCCTCATCTGTAGGGAGTGGGCCGTCCTTTCGCCGAGGATACAGCGCCGTTTAACACGTGAGCCTCATGTGACAGAGGTAGATCAGTCTGAGCGGAGAGTCAGAGGGTTTATTTAACTCGTCGTTCTGTCCTCCCCCACTTTCCCAGCGCGCCACCAAGGCTTGACTTCCTCACCGCTGCGGGACCACGGCGTGGAGATCGCAGGAACTAACTTTACAGCGTTTTGTTTTTAAAAAAATGACAGATTATTAAACAGTTTTAACCTTTTTTGACGCATTCTGCGCATTTTTCGTTGCATTTTATCATTTCCTTTTTTATTTACAAATTGCTTTGCAAGTGCTGATAGAGCGCGTAAATAAATGCGTATTTATTTCTGAGTGCTTTTGGAAGAGTACCTCGGTTTTGACAGCAAAATTGGAATACAAAGAATGGAGCGAATTCCAAGCGCGCAACCACCCCCTCTGTCCAAACATCAGGCTGAACTGTCAGACGTGCAGGGGTAAGTTATACTTTGGAGATGTAGCTTTCCCAGACTGCGTCGCCCCCTTTTTAACCTCCAACTAAAATGCACCTAATGTATAATTTTGTGCACTTTACCATCAAAATGACCTGATTCCTTACTCGTGCGCTCTTTTTGTGTTTCTTTAGGATGGATTTCCCAATGTATGTCTATAAACCCAGGCGGGGAATGAAGCGAGGAGAAGAGAGCAAGGTCCGTTCTACGTGTGTGTGTGTGTGTGTTCGTGTTTGTGGTTGTTTATTGCCAATTGGTAAAGTTAAGTAATAACCATAGAGCTCAAACATCCAGGAATTAGATTAGGAGTTGGTCTATAGTCCCATAAATGGTTGACCTAGTTTCTACTATGACATAACTCCTGGATTCCTCCCTATCGGTGTATCTGCCTCTGGTCATGGAGAACTATGTGCTCTCGTTTCACTTAAATTTACGCAACATTTCTGTTTATTCTCTTAGGAAACCTACAAGCTGCCTCACAGACTTATTGAGAAGAAAAGACGTGACCGGATAAACGAATGCATCGCCCAGTTAAAAGATCTATTACCCGAGCACCTGAAACTAACTGTAAGTTCATAGTGTAGGTGGGAGGGTTAATGGGATTGGCTGTATTGAGCGGCACGCACCATCTAGTGGCTGTTTAGTGCTATCACATCTTTGTTGAGTGCGTCAGCAGCTCATGCCGATGACGGCTCACGTTAAAGAGAATGTGCTGCTGTTAGATTTTTGTTGTTTCGAGTGTATATTTTAAAAAGTTACATTCAGTGTTGATTTCCTTAATGCAAATGAAATTTCAATAAATTGGTGTAAATTATTTCAGAGTAATCACATGTGGTGATGTGTACATGTGTAGTAGAGCTTGGTTTCTGCTTGTTATATAAGAGGATATGCTGACTGTGTGCGTGTCTCTCCATTAGACTCTGGGCCATCTGGAGAAGGCTGTGGTTTTAGAGCTTACGCTCAAGCACGTGAAAGCCCTCACCTCTCTTCTTGAGCAGCAGCAGCAGAAGATCCTCGCTCTTCAGAACGGCATGCAAATCGGTGAGCTGCAGATCATTTTTGCACACGCACAAACACATGAGGAGGAACTGGATGGGTTTTCTAGACAGAATGCAAATAACGCAGATGAATGCAGAATTGCACCACTGAAAGTAACTTCACTTACAGCTGTTTACAAAAGGTCACAGTCTATATTAGATTTCTGAGTGTGTTGTTTCCTTATGTGTTTATAGAGCAGCCTCCCATCAGCCAGGAGAAGTCAGAGGAGATGTTCTGCTCTGGCTTCCACATGTGTGCCAAGGAAATTCTCCAGTATCTCGCTAATCACAAGACTGACGGAGACTTCACCCCATCCCACGTCATCAGCCACATTCACAAGTTAGCTGTAGAGGTGCTGCACAGTCCAGCCCGACCCCGCACCCCTCTTAGCCCTCAACCCGAGGAAATCCCTGCCTACCAACCTCATAAAGAAATGTCTCCCAGCTTAGCCCCTAAGCCCAGCGAGGGCTACGGGAGGAACTGTGTGCCCGTCATCCAGCGGGTGTACGCTTCACCAAGCAGCGAGCAGAGCGGCAGTGATACAGACACAGACAGTGGCTACGGAGGAGAGCTGGAGAAAAACGAATCTGGGGCGCCGCAGGGACATCCAGATTATTACGTTCACGGGAGCCAGCAGAAGCGACTGCTGGCTGACAGGCAGAACTCCAGCATCAAGCAGGAGGATGACGAGCCACGCCACAAACGAGCCCGTGTGGAGTCGTCTGAGGATGAGCTGCTCTCAGGCGGAGAATCATCAACTTCTTCATCCTCTAGCGGATATGGAAGTTTCATGAGTGCATCCCCTAACCATCCACCCCCTCCTCCACATCCCCTCTGCATGCCTTTCTACCTCATTCCACCCTCTGCTGCAGCTTACCTACCAATGCTTGAGAAGTGCTGGTACCCTGGGGCCATGCCAATGCTCTACCCTGGCATGAGCAGCTCATCACCTACCATACCCAGTGAAAGGCCCGGCCCACCTCAGCTTGTGCTGTCTCCCCGGGGAGGTTCTCCAGCCCCAGCCATATCTCAGACCCCCATGGACTCTCCTGCTCTCCTTCAGGCACTCAAGCAAGTACCACCCCTCAACCTGGAAACCAAAGACTGAGAGATAAAGGCGAAAAGACTGCCCTGATATATTGCCCTGTTCTCAAAACACGACTGAGCTGTTCCATAATTCATAATCACTCATCTCCTCTTTTCCTCAGCCTGGAGGGTAAAGCATCAAATAAGAGGACTTGTAGAAATGATCAAGGAGAGAGAGAGAAAGAGGTGAGAGCAGCATCCTTCCACACTGAGAGCAATGCAAAGCTCTGGTTGAATGTCAAATGCTCAGCGGTGTTCAGTGGTATATATGTATCATATAAACTGGATCTGCCCTGTGCACACATAAACACACATATGGTTGAATGTAAAGAAAGAAATGTTTTAGCTGCTGCTGTTAAAGTGTAAACACAGATGAACATTGACGCATCTCACTCGCGATTTTGTAATTTAGAACGTGTTGCACCAAATGTTAGCGATAATTTGCCACCCAAAGTTTGTCGCCTATGTCCTTTGCTCACCATTATGATTACTGAGATGGAAAAAAAAAAGCCCTTTCAGCCATGACCGGCACCATAAAATACAAGGATTCCCTCAAATGTGTACAGACAGCGAGGGTACACCACATGGTAGATGAAGGAAAAGGCCGCCGCATGGCCACGCTGAATGAGAGAAGTGTCGTTTATGATTTAAACAGACGCCTAAGATGGATTTTTCTGTAATTATTGTTCATAGATTTATTGTACATTTCTATTTTTGATACCTTCTCGCACTCTGTCTGCCCCGAGAGGTATACGAGGAGGGCAGAGTGTGGACAATGTACGTCGTGTACTCAGAAACTGTGTACATACTGTAGCACTGTGCTGGACCTGGTCTGCATACTCGACATCTGTTTCTGCTCAAGTCAAACCCGGTGTTTGTGCTTGCTGTTGCCTTTTACTTGTGAAAAGCTGATAAATCTCAGATGTTAATTCTCTGTACTATGTATGAATCTTGGAGACAAAGGAGCAAGGAAGTGAATGTAAACGTTTTAACCAGAAGACTAGTTTTCTATAGAAAGAGGTACTTGAGATTTTATATTTTGGGACCTACATGAAAGATGTTTGATGTAAATATTTTGTCTATAATTGTTGATATACATGATATAAGTGTATTAATAAAGTATTTTTTTTCCCGTGGAAACTTGTTCTGACCGTATATGTACGAAAGAGAGTGAGAATGTGTGTGAAAACAAATAAATACTTTTTAGAGGTTTTACAGCACCACAGCATTCACGTCACAGGGAACACTTATGTAATGGCAGATCTGTGGCATGGCTCTCCTGCTGGTTAACCGTCTGTGGCCTCAAATGCAAAAACACAAGTAAACACACGAGTATAAACAGTATAAAAAGCTTGTGACACACCCCTCTGCATTTAGTTTCCCTGCAGAGTGCTTTACCTCCTGGAGACATGCAAAACATGTAGCTGTATAATTTACAAAAAATGCTACCACTACCTCCTGTGTTGTGCAATCACATTTTTCATCTATGCGATAGCACCTCCAATTATAGGTTTATCTCAGTGCCGTTCAACATAAGCCCAGTGCCAGTCACAACATCTTTGTCTTCCCACCTACACATTTTTTTCCAGTGCCCTTTTTTTCGGAGCTTAGTCATTCTGTTGCTGGTTTGTTTATATAATCTACAGTTTGAGATTACGACCAGCCACCTAAATGTCATTTATATCTTTCAAACTAGTTTCCTTGAAGCTGATTTCCATTTATTTGTTTCAGGAGGAGTTGCATGTTGTATTGATGTCATGAGTTTGCAAGCAAAACCATTATACATGTACTCACCACCCACTTTGTTATTTCCACCTTGCTAGTGCCAAGTTGAGCCCTTTTTACCTTCAGAGATGCCTTAATTCTTCTTGGCATGGATTCAACAAGGTGCTGGAAATATTCCTAAGCAATTCCCATCTACGCTGATATGATAACATCACACATGATGTGAATCTCCTGTTCCAGCACATCCCAAAGGTGCTCTATTGGAATGAGATCTGGAGACTGTGGAGGCCAGTTGAGTACAGTGAACTCATTGTCATGTTCAAGCAATCAGTTTGAGATGATCTTGTCTCTGTGACATGACCTGTAATCCCCCTGATGGACTCATCAGAAGATGAGTGCACTGTGGTCGTAAAGGGACGGACAATGTCAGCAATAGTACATTGGCCGTGGTGTTTAAATGATGCTCAGTTGGTGCTAAGAGCCCAAAGTGTGCCAAGTAAATAACCCCCACACCATTACAACACCATCACCACACACATATATTGATATAAGGCAGGATA